ATGAGGGCACTACGAGAGTCAACTACAACCACAAAGGAGGAATGACAATGAGAAAGCAAGAGACAGAGAGCATAGAGAATAGCATAAAGTTCTGCAGTGAAGACGTTAGCCTCCGAAGGGAGGCGACACATATAAGTGCGGTCAGGAAAAACAACAGAGTAGCCCACACCGTCCACAGACTTAGACCCATCGGTGAAGATGGAAATAGAGTGGGAGTGCGAAGTAAAGTGCTCAAGGAAAAGGCGTTTCAGAACCGTAGGAGAGGTAAAAGCTTTAGTGATGCAAGTCAAGGACGTATAAAACTTTGGAAGGGGGACTCTCCACGGAGGCAAGGAAGGAACAATACGAGGAGAAACATTAGAAATATGAACCGAAAGAGAATCCTGTAAGCAAGATAACCGGACAGAAAGAGGGAGGCGATGAAGAGGAACAGGAACCACAGGAGGGGATAAAACTTAAAGCACGACAGAGGCGAGAGGAAGGATGTTGTAAGGACCGCACAAGATAGAGAAGACAGTAGCGAACACGGCAGTCCTGGAGAGAGAGGAAGCCAGCATCAACATACAAACTGAGGGCGGGAGTCGAACGAAAGGTACCAGAGCTGAGACGCAACCCAGTATGGTGCAAAGCATCAAGACAGCGAAGGGTAGAAGGAGAAGCAGAAGAGTATGCAGGGCAACCATAATCGAGTTTAGACAGGACGAGAGAGGAGTGCAAATAGAGGAGCATGCGCCTATCCGCTCCCCAAGGAGTATGGGACAAAACCTTAAGTAGGTTAAGGGCCTTAGAGCATTCAACCCGGAGGTAAGAGATATGGGCTGACCAAGAAAAACGAGTGTCAAAGATTAACCCCAGAAGCTTAGCGGAATCCCTGTACACAAGGGGATGACCATAAAGCAACAAAGAGGGACGAAGAATGACATGCTTCCGAGTAAAAGTCATAGCACAAGTCTTAGACGCAGAGAACTTGAAGCCATGATCGGTGGCCCAGGATGACACTGCATCAATCGCAAGTTGAAGCCGCCATTGAAGGAGAGGCGAATCATCACCAGGACAGCAAAGGATAAGATCGTCAACATAGAGAGCAGAGAAGACGCCAGAAGGAAGAGAGGAAAGAAGACCGTTGAGGGCAACTAGAAAAAGAGTAGTGCTCAGAACACTACCCTGGGGTACACCCTCATACTGCCGAAAAGGGGCAGAGAGAGTGGTACCAAGTTGCACACGAAAGGAACGACGAGAGAGGAAACTCTGGAGGAAGAGAGGGAGATTCCCATGAAGGCCAAAAGAATGAAGTTGAGACAGAATATGATACCACCAGGTAGTGTTGTAAGCTGTGAGTTGTGAGAAGGAGAGAGGTGGTGATAGTGTTCTAAGAACCACATCAAACTAACGTTAACCATACGTTCAAAGAGGTTGCAGACACAACTCGTGAGGGAAATAGGGCGGAAGTCCTTGGGGATGAACTGAGAGACCCTGGTTTCTGAACAGGGAGGACAACAGCATCAAGCTAGTCTTCAGGAACTGACGAGGACTCCCAGACCCGATTGTACAAACTCAGTAAATACTGAGATGTGCACGGAGGGAGATGGCGAAGCATTTCATAATGAATGCCATCGGAGCCCAACGCCGTAGAACCGCTGAGAGCTAGGACAGACTGAAGCAAGCTCAGAGAGAGAAGGGATCATTAAAGGGAAGGCGAAGATGAGTACAGAAATTTAAAGGACGAGATTCAAGAATTGGCTTACGAAAGAAGGAAGGATTAGGAAGATGAGAACCAGAACTAACAGATGAAAAGTGGGAACCCAGTTCGGTCGCGACCTACAATAGGTCCGCCACAAGAGCACCACGGAGGCGAAGGACCAGCGAGACATCAGGAACGAACTTACCCGCAATCTTGCAGATACACTTCCAGACAAGTGGTAGAGGAGTTTCGGACGTAACGGTGGAGACATAAGACATCCAGCAAGCACATTTAACCGCATGGATGGTCCTACGGGCCACCGCACTCGCCTTCCAAAACAAAACAAAAGACTCAACCGTCTGCCAGCAGCAATCTCTCTTCTAGGCTGCACGCTTACAGTGGACAGCCCGAGCACAGTCTACATTCCACCAGGGAACGCACTTCTGTGTTCCCAAGAGGAAGAGTGAGGAATAGAGCGGAGGGCAGCGTCAAAGACAGTGTTATGATAAAGAAGGAGGGTGCGAGGGAGAGGCAGAACGGAGAGGTCGGAAATAGTAGCACGGAGAGTAAATAGGCACCAGTCAGCCTCGCCAAACGGCCACCTAGGGAAGGAGAGAGGAGAGTGAAAAGATAAAAAAGTAACAAGGATAGGAAAATGGTCACTGCCATGGAGGTCATCAAGGACCCGCTACCCGAAATCTAAGGAAAGGGATGATGAGCACAGAGAAAGATCGAGACAGGAAAGGGAGTGAGTCCAAGAGTCCAAATGAATGGGCTCACCAGAATTAAGAAGGGACAGAGAAGAAGAGAGGATGAAAGGATCAAGGAGGCGACCCCGGGTGTTTGTCAGCACATCACCCCAAAGGGCATGACGACAATTGAAATCACCCAGCAGAAGCACAGGCTCCTGCAAGGAGTCAAGGTGGTGTTTAAGATCGGGAAGAGAAAATGGGACAGTGGGGGGAAGATAAATGGAACAAACCGTGTATCATTTATGCACAAAGACACGGGCAGTAGAACAGTGGAGAGGCGTGGAAAAAAGTAAGGGGACGAAGGGAACATCTGAGCGAATCAAGCGAGCAGAAGTTATAGGCCCCAGCAACAGCTCGGGAAGGGGGGGGAGAGAAAAGAATAGCCATGGAAGCGACCAGGATGAGCACCAAGCATTGGCTCCTGGAGACAGACACAAAGGGGCAAAAACTGTGAAATTAGAAGTTGGAGGTCAAGGAAATTGGCGTAATATCCATGGATGTTCCATTGAAGAATAGACATCGGCAAAAAGAGAAAGGATAGCAACAGAAAGCAAAGAAGAAACAAAGGTGAAAAAGGAACACAGCATGTTAAAGAAGCACAGGGTCAGGATCAGGGTCAGCGAAGTCAGGGTTAGGGGGCATGGGTAAACTGAGTAAAGAAGGAGGGAAAGAAGAGGACAGACCAGAGGTGGACGAGCAGGGTCTGGAGGAGGAGGAGGAGGTGGAGAAGGAAGAGGAGGAGGAGGAGGGGCAGAAAGAGGGGAGCGCACCTCAGCAAGGGCAGTAACCGAGACGGAACCGGGTGCTAAAGAAACCCAACAGTAGGAACGGGGCTCCACCACCGAAGCGGGAGGGGCAAGGAACGATAGAATCAGAGATAGGAGGCGAAGAAGAAAGCAAAGCCTTCTTGCCTACTGGGAAGGAGGAAGGAGAGGAGCCAGGTTTCCACTTCTGACTCAAAGAGACAGGTGTCCCAACAACAATGTACTGGGCAACAGACTCCAGCGTCTCAATAGGAGAAGAAGAGCGAGAGCGAACAACACGACCACTAGGAGAGTGATGGACATTGGCCCATACAGTCAGGCGGCGTAGAGAGCCAAGAGACGGAGGAGAATGACGAGAAGGAGGACCAGAGGGAGAGGAGAAAGAAGACACAGGAGACATGACAGACTGGGTAGAAATAAGGTGAACCCTAAACAGAGAAACAGGATGGGGACCCTCCGGGACAGAACGGAGGGAAACAGGGGAGGTGGTGGTGGGCGTGTCCGGGTCTAAGGCTTGGAAACGGTTGTGAGACTGAGGAAGGCGGGAAGGATGAGGAGAGGAAGAGCACACCACGCGAGCACAGGAGACGCCACCGAAAGAGGGGAGACAATGAACTTGGCGCCAAGCCTCAGGAAAAGACAAACGGTCCCGGTGCTTCAAGCTGAGGACGGCCGCCTGAAGTTTGTAACGTATACACGTGTGGGAGAAGGTAGGGTAGGCCTCACCGCAATTGAGGCAACGGGCCTGGGGAGAAGTGCACTCCAACTTAGAGTAACCCTCGCCTCCACACATGGGACAGAGAGAGACAGGACTAGAGCATTTGAGGGCACCATGCCCAAACCTCCAGCACTTATTGCAGAGCCGAGGAGATGGAATATACTCCTAAACGGAGCATCTGGCACCAGCAAGAATGACAGAGGCTGGAAGGGTCCTACCATCAAAGGTAATCTTCACAACCCAAAGGGGCAGACGGCGATGACCACGAGGGGGCCGAATAAATGTATCCACCTGGAGGACAGAATGACCCTGGGCCTCGAGGATATGCTTGATATCCTCGTGGCAGTCTTTTAGATTCCTAACACCGGTCGCAATATGGTGCAGGAGGAGAACAGTGCCAACACTGGCATTTAACATTTAACACTGGCATCTCGCCAAGGCAGGATAAGGTGGCCAAGCGGGTGGCTGCATCCTGAGAAGGAGCAGCAATGACACGTGTACCAAGACGGGTGGGGTTGAAGGTAATAGAGGCATCTATAGAATCTACAAGATGACTATGAAGGGAAAAATCGTCAGGAGGAGTTGAATCTAAAGGTTGGAGGTGAAAGTACTTAGTCCACGTAGCAGGATCAAACAAAGCATGGTACGAATTAGTATGGGAAGGGAGCATACAAGAGCGGCCGTGGCGGGGACGGTGATGAGAACCTTTGCCTGAGGAAGGCCAAGCAAAAAAAAAAAAAAACACCAAATACATGTTCAAATAAATGGAAGTGTGACTGAGTTGATCTATGTATATTATATATGAACACTAACCTGGTCCAGTGTAACACAATCTCATAGATATGGGAAACTTAAAGCTACTTTTGTGAAGTATCCCTACTCAAAACTTGTTTTATTTTTAACACTTTAAAACTGCTAAACACTGTTAAAAAGCTAAATATGTATTATGTGTCAACTTAAAAATATTGAATTTTATATTGCATATGACCTTTAAATTCCCACAATGTGAATATTTTAAGTGCACTTCTATTTCATAAATTTTTTACCATTGTGAAAGTAAGCCAGTACGGTGGTTAAAAGATATAGTATATTGACGTTTATTGTTGTTAACATCTCTCATGTTTAAATATATGCTTCAAGGTGACATTCAATCCAAAATAGTTAAGTACAATTGGTGAACTATCCACTAGGGAGCCTTGACATGCTATAGTATAGCTTTGTTGCTAAAATCTTTATGTTTAAGCACAGACAGTACAAGTGATATATACACCTACCAAGAACATGGTAACATTCCACTCAATGACGAGCTGCCTCAAGTTCTGTAGAAGCTTATCACCGAGTGATTGATGCTAGTCCTTGACTGCTGTGTTTGTTCTACTTGACAGCTCCTGCTCCTTGTCCACTGTAATGTGTTATGGGGTTGGACTCCATACCTTCAGCTGCTTTTGGAAGTACTGTATAGGGATGAAGTCTGTCACGACAGTTAATACAGCGTATACAGTAACTACAATATATATACTTTAATGAGCTTTGCTTGGATATTAATACGCCGCCTTACATCCTCAGTCTAAGTTCATCTTCCATTACCTTGAAATCATCCCAATGATAGGAAATTCATCTATTGTATACTATATTTAATACATCTTACTGTTCATAGTTGACCTTGACACAGAAATATTCATCACATATAATACTAATCAGGTCACACTGTATACCATCCTTAATGTTCTGGGATGCAAAAGCCATTAGTCACTTTTACTGGTCCATTAACTACACTGATAGGAGGCGGGATGTCGATACCTCTCGTGTCCATACTGACGCTGTCCTTGAGGCTGGCGAATGGTATTGTGGACGTGGCCGGAAGGGATTTCTTGATCATTACCTCAAAATGAGTGGGAAGAATGGGGTTATATGGAGCTAATGACTCTAAATGAGCGTGATGCGAAGAGGACAGTTTGGGTGAAGCAAGGAGGGGACTGTGGTGGTGCAGGTGCATGTTGAGCCCGGAGCCGGGACAAGAGCCACACGCTGCCTCCTCAGCTTCAGCTGTTGGTGTTAATAACCAGTGAGTACACACTGTATGTGACCATGGCATACATTTACTACATAAAACCAATCTTCCACATATCATTCATCAATGAATACTTTACATTAATAGTTATATAATTATCAATCCTAATTACTCAAAACAGAATATTCCAACAGTAGGTAAATGTAATTGTTACCCTTCCTATTCCTTCTATTATTAGTATTAAACATATAACAAGTAAAGGTTGCTAATTATATTGCACAAAAGAACTTTTAATTATAGTAAACAATCCCAATACATTTTTATATAAATGAGTATCAGGTGAACAAAGCTTTACAAAATACCTGTACTTTATAAATTCTTAATTGATCTATCGTGCACTAAATGAATACTGGGAAGTTCAACAGTTACTCTAGCATTTCCCATCTATTCTCTATTTGATATTTACACAAAATACATCCATCATTAATTCCAGCTATATTTAGTATTTATCACAGCATTCCTGGATCTCAACACCACATTCACTAACTTGATTCTTGGATCTTAACATTCAACTCTTACATCTATCACCACCACAGCTGCTGCTGCCGTGTTTCCAACATTCCGGAGCAACCAAAATAGACATACCAATGCATAACATATTCTTTCTAATTTGCTCAGCCAAATAGTTATACTTCATGGAATTTCCCCCACATTTCTATGCTATCACAATGAAATCACAATGGTGTGATATATTAATATCATGCCATTGTGATAGCACTGCAATTTGATGTAGGGCGTATAAACGCCCCACCAGTGTAAACGCGATTACCGTAGGCCAAAGTGTGGGCAGGTCACCTATAAAACCCAGGTTGGGTTCCAGTTCGGGGCCTCCAAAACTCTCAGTGAATTCAGTAGAGTTCTGGGTTAATCAACTTTTGCACCATCGTGGCAGTCAATTAAAGCAGGTGTCTGGGAATCATCAGGATGTGGTTCAAGTTACTACATTGCCTCAAAATGATTTTCTATTCTAGCAAGGAAACATGTCAAGGTAATGCTTACATAATCTGAAATTACTTTTCTTAGGGCGATGATAAGGATGCACAATTGAATTAAAACTGGGCAAAGATCAACTTAATATAGACTTTTTTTGGTGACTTATGTCCTAGATGATTTACCAATTTTGTCATGTGCTTACCTATCAGCGAATACAGGAAAGTTAGATCTGGCCCTTTATGCACCACCTCCTAGCCATTCATACCTGACTTGTTAATTACCATTTTCAGTATTAACATTTCATAATATTTTTTTTAATAGTTGTGGATGGACTTGGCTTCAATAACTCATTCCTTCACTGCATTCCACTTGCCCACTACCGGTATAGGGAATGAGAAGTTCCTTACATCTCTTTGAATCAAGTGCATATCCAGCTTCCACTTGTGCCCCCTTGTCCCATCTCTTTTCAATTTAAACAGTCTTCCTTTATCCACTTGATCTATTCACATCAAGATCTTGTACATAGTTATCATATCTCCTCTGTGTCTTCTCTATAAGGTTCTGAAGCTGAGTTCTCTCAAATTGCAGGTAAAAGGATGATATTCAGACGTTAAAAATGGGAAACAGGTTCACGGAAAATTAAAAAGGAAATGTGTGAAACATTAAACGAAAAGTTCCAAAGTGAGTTTGAACAAAATGAAATCTTCAGAGAACCAGAGATAATAAAAATTCCAGAGCAGAGAACAACACAGAGCACATAGAGGTGTCTAAGAGACTAAGTGAAAAAATGCTCAAGGAGCTAAGTAAGAATAGAGCAGTTGGCCCAGTTGGAGTTTCACCATAGATTCTGAGAGAATGTACATCCCGAGCTCAGCATTCTACTTCAATTGATTTCTCAGGCATCCCTGTGTACAGGAGTCATAGCAGACGTTATCTTGAGGTTATCTTGGTTATCTTGAGATGATTTCGGGGCTTTTAGTGTCCCCGCGGCCCGGTCCTCGACCAGGCCTCCACCCCCAGGAAACAGCCCGTAACAGCTGACTAACTCCCAGGTACCTATTTACTGCTAGGTAACAGGGGCATAGTGTGAAAGAAACTTTGCCCATTTGTTTCTGCCTCGTGCGGGAATCGAACCCGCGCCACAGAATTACGAGTCCTGCGCGCTATCCACCAGGCTACGAGGCCCACTGGCCCGAGACGTGTGGAAAAAGGCTAACATAGTTCCAATCTACAAAAGTGGCAGCAGGGAAGACCCCTCAATTATAGACCTGTATCATTGACAAGTGTAATAGTCAAAATATCGGAAAAAATAATTAAAACAAAATGGGTAGAACACCTGGAGAAAAACTATATAATAACGGACAGACAATATGGTTTTCCATCTGGGAGATCCTGTGTAATGAATTTACTCAGATTCTATGATCGAGCTACAGAGATTTTACGTGAAAGAGATGGTTGGGTTGACTGCATCAATCTGGACCTAAACAAGGATTTTGGCAGAGTTCCAAACAAGAGGTTGTTTTGAAAACTGGAACATACTGGAGGGGTGACAGGTAGGCTTGTAACATGGATGAAAAATTTTCTGACAGAAAAATGAGGGCAGTAATCAAAGGCAATGCATCGAACTGGAGAAGTGTCACAAGTGGAGTACCACAGGGTTCAGTTCTTGCACCGGTAATGTTCATTGTCTACATAAACAATCTACCAGATGCGATACAGAATTAGTGTATATGCACATGTTTGCTGATGATGTTAAGATAATAGGAAGGATAAGAAACTTAGATGATTGTCATGCCCTTCAAGAAGGACCTGAACAAAATAAGTGTATAGAGCACTACTTAGTAAATGGAATTTAATGTGAATAAATGCCATGTTATGGAGTGTGGAATAGGAGAACAAAAACCCCACACAACCTATAAATTATATGAGAAATCCTTAAAGAATTCTGATAAAGAAAGAGATCTAGGGGTAGTTCTAGATAAAAATCTATCACCTGAAGACCACATAAAGAACATCATACAAGAAGCCTATGTTACACTTTCTAACTTCAAAATGGCTTTTAAATACATGGATGGCAAAATACTAAAGAAACTGTTCTTGACTTGTGTTAGACCAAAGCTGGAATATTCAGCAGTTGTATGATGCCCATATCTTAAGAGGCACATCAACAAACTGGAAAAAGGTGCAAAGACATGCTACTAAGTGCCTCTCAGAACTGAAGGACAAGGGCTACGAGTATAGGTTAGATGCATTAAATATGCCAAAACTAGAAGATAGAAGAAAAAAAAGCGATATGATCACGACGTACAAAATAGTAACGGGAATTGATAAAATTGATAGGGAAGAATTCCCGAGACCTGGAATGTCACGAACAATAGGTCATAGATTTAACCCCTGCACTGCACACTTGTTTTTGGCAAAAACTTCATAGTGCAATTGTTAAGGACATAGTTTTGGTCCCTCTAATTACCCAAAGCTACTCAAAGCCACTCAAAGCCACTCAAAGCCTCCCAAAGCTTTCTGGCAATACGTTAGTAAGGAATAAATATGATATATTTACTCATTATAATGTTGGTGTTGAATGTAGAACATGAAAAAACCAGCGTTGAATGTAATGAAACGCCATTTTCTGGGTGAGCCCCAGAGGCTCCCTGGAGCTTATTGGACTAATGTATGTTATAATAGACCGGGACATTAGCTAAGGAGTTCAGACTTACCAGGGACCAGTGCCAGAACCTGGCCCCTTCAGAGAGGTTTCAGGGAGCAATGGCCCTGGAAAACCCCCTTGTGGTTGGGGTTTTCCCTTATCTGCCATCGACCGGGGTTAGGCACCCAGAAAGGTAGGCATAACAAAACAAACCCCACATGGTAAGAAACTAAAACAAAAAACCGAACAGAGAGGTAGAAACTCCCTACAAACACAAGCAAACAAGCAAACATCACACTTTACTGCCGCGCCGATCGTCCATGCAGCCCTCCCCACCCCGAGAGGGGGAGGGGGGAGCCCCGGACCTACCGCGCCGGCTGTTAAGCTTCAGTTCGGAAGCTAAGCTTCAACCAACGCGAAAAAACCGCCGACCGGTGGAAGGGAGGGTTGCCAGGGAGCTTCCGAGGCTCACCCAGAAAATGGCGTTTCATTACATTCAACGCTGGTTTTCTGTGGGGAGCCCCTACAGCTCCCTAGAGCTTCATACTCAAAGAGAAAGAGAAGAAAGGGCTAACCCGGGAGGCGGTCGCCACAAACTCTGCAACGCGAAGCCGAGACAACAGGTTGCAACCTGCGACCCAAGGCAACAAGAATGCACAGGAGCAGACACGCATAAAAAATGGGCGGCCAAGAACCTGTGCAACTCTCAAATCCCTGCACCTGAAATGAGCCCTAGACGTCACCAACACAGCAGCAAAAACTGCAAATGTCCGAACAGAATGGGCGCAAAGACAGACCGCAGGCTGGAAGACTGAAAAACTCTGCGGACGACCTGGGAGACCTGAACCCTGAAAACAGGGAACGAGGGGAACCAGATCAAACCAAAGCGCATCTACAGACACGGTATGCAAGTAACGGCAAAAAGCGCAACCAGACAACACAGGATGCACCCCCAGCCAAACCAATCAAGCATCAATAACCCAAGAACCCCTATGGAAGGCAGCCGTCTCGACCGTCGCCAGAACGGAGAAAGGCTGTACACGTACAATTCTACCACCAGTACCAAAGAGCAGAAACCTGAACCGATGGGGCTACCACAAACTGAGGAGAAGATAAGAAGGCACCCTGATCAAGGATCAGGACGGCTCAGGCGACGCATGAGCAGGCCGGAGATGAAACAAAACACGAGAAAGCATACGAAACGGGGCAGATGTGATGTCCACCCCGAACGCAAGCCGGAGCGGCTCCGCCAGTGCCGCACAAAACGAGGCGACAGTAAGAAACATCAATTAACTGTAGTCCTGAAAACCCAAGAAAGGACAAGACAACCCGATGCGAAAGAGAAGACAATGTACAAAGAGCAAGAAAAAGTGCATAGGAACACCAAGAACGTCA